ATGCTCCTCACACTTGTGGTCATTGGGAAGAATGCTCCTCACACTTGTGGTCAGTGGGAAGAATGTTGCTTACACTTGTGGTCATTGGGAAGAATGCTCCTCACACTTGTGGTCATTGGGAAGAATGCTCCTCACACTTGTGGTCAGTGGGAAGAATGCTCCTCACACTTGTGGTCATTGGGAAGAATGTTCCTCACACTTGTGATCATTGGGAAGAATGCTCCTCACACTTGTGGTCATTGGGAAGAATGCTCCTCACACTTGTGGTCAGTTGGGAAGAATGCTCCTCACACTTGTGGTCATTGGGTAGAATGCTCCTTACACTTGTGGTCAGTGGGAAGAATGCTCCTCACACTTGTGGTCATTGGGAAGAATGCTCTAATGGGATGCGATTTTTGCATTGAAGTCAATGGGATGCAATTTTGCATTGAAGTCAATGGGATGTGATTTTGCATTGAAGTCAATAGGACATGATTTTGCATTGAAATCAATGGGGCGCAATTTTGTACTGAAGTCAGTGGGAGGCAGTATATGAACCCAGGCAGCTGGATGCAATTTCTAGTCGCCATGGGCACCTCTTGCCTGCAAATTGTCATCCCTGGCTTTAATAGTTTTTCAGTCACTGACTCAGAAGATGTAAGAAAATTGTAAATTTTTATTTAATGTTCAAGATTAATGGAAAGTTAAATTATTATAATTATGGCATAGTGATGGTGATGATGAGGATATTTCTGGTCCTCTTGCCCTAAACTGAACTCTGATGTTCTTGGTCATGTTTTATGTCTAGACTCCTTAGTGGTGTATGACCCCCTAGATGATGATGAATTATATTTTTGGAGCTCTAATGTACTTGGTCATGCTGTGTGCCTAGACCACCTGTGTCTGGGTCAGTGGTGTATGACCTCCAGATGATATATGACCCCCTAGATAAGGGGATTCCAAACTATCTAAACAAAGGGCCAGTTTACTCTCCTTCAGGCTTGGGGGGGGGGGGGGGGGGGGGGGGGGGGGCGCACACTTTGGCCATTGGGAGTAGAAAATGCCCCAGCATCAGTTGCAGTAAACCATGTCTCATTATCAGTTTTAGTGGGAGGAATAGTGCACCATGATTGGTGTTAGTGGGATGAATCTTGCCAAATCACTGGTGTCAGTGGCAGGAATAATGCCCCACTGTTGGTGTCAGTGGCAGGAATAATGCCCCACTGTTGGTGTCAGTGGCAGGAATAATGCCCCACTGTTGGTGTCAGTGGCAGGAATAATGCCCCACTGTTGGTGTCAGTGGGAGGAATAGCACCCCATCATTGGCCATTTAAAGGCAAGCAAAGGGCTGTATCATTCCCCTGGGCCGCAGTTTGAAGATTACAGCCCTAGATAATGTATGGCCCACCTCCTAGATATTTGTATGACCCTCTAGTGGTATATGATCCCCTAGATCAGGCATCCCTAAATGGCGGACAGTGGTCCAGACCGAGACATTGTTCCATCCGGACCCGCAGTCACGCCATTTTGGAGCTGCTTCTTCCCCCAACCTCCGCCACTGTTATTATAACAGCAGAGTGTAGAGCGGGAGCAAGGACATTTGTGGACCGAGGGTGGGAGTCCTATCACAGCAGTGAACTGGGAGCGGGAGATGCCGGAGTTAACTTCAAGTTAACCAGCAGGTGATTGGATGCAGGGTGGTCAATCACCTGTTGCCTAATACAAAAAGTTATCCCCGGTAGCTCCCGCTCCCACACTCCGTTCATTGCTGTGCTGCAGCTCCCACACTCGGTCCAGAAATGTTCTATCTCCCGCTCTACACCCTGTCTAAGGTAGGAGAGTGAAGGGGAGCAGAGGGCACCACTCTGGGTGTGCTGTGGGGGTGGTAGTGCTCTATGTTTGTGGGGGGGGGGGGTGGATTTCAAGAGGATGGAGTACTCAACTGTGTGTGTGATGTAAAGGGGGGAGGGGAGTAAAATGTAAAGAGGGACAGTGCTGTGTGTGGAGGGGGAGTGATGTAAAGGGAGAAGGCAGTCCAAAAGGGGTGCAATATAAAAGGAGGGGCAGTTCTGTTGGAAATTTGCTAGATTACTGGGAGGAGCAGGGCATGACCCAGCAGTCCTGGTCCATGTTGGAACCAATGACAGAATACATGGAAGTTGGAAGCTCCTTACGAATCAATTTGAAGAACTAGGCTGCAAGTTGAAGGGAAGGACCTCCAAGGTGATATTCTCTGAAATATTAGCTGTGCCATGCGCAACTCAGGAAAGACGGGGGAGATTAGAGAACTCAATGCATGGCTGAAGACCTGGTGTAAGAGGGATGGATTTGGGTTTCTAGAGCACTGGGCTGACTTTTCATTGGGGTGCAACCTTATGCTAGACATGGTTTGCACCTAAATGGAAGGGGGTCTGCTGTGCTGGGGGAGAGGATTATGGGAAGGCTGGATGAGTATTTAAACTAGAATCGAGGCGGGAAGGATAATTCGATTATATCAGGGTAGACAGATCAGACAGGGGTCAGTACTTATTGGTGGGTGGAATGGGGAAAGATGGGGGGAAGGCTATGGCAGATGAAAGAAGGTTCCCATGTTACAAACAACCAGTGGAATTGTTACCATTTATATGAAAATAAAAAATATGCAAAATACGTGTGCACAAGGTGCCAATGGGTTAAAGTGTTTGTTCACCAATGCCAGAAGTCTGCCAAGCAAAATAGGTGAGTTGGAAGGTTTGGTACATGAAGAGAACTAGGATTTAATTGGTATTGCTGAATCTTGGCTTCATTCTTCCCATGACTGGGCCATTAATATTCCTGACTATGTTCTCTTTCGGAGAGACAGGATAAATAGGAAAGGTGGTGGTGTCTGTCTCTATGTGAGAAGTGATCTCAGAGCGAGTGTGAAAGAGGACCTACTTGATGGAGAGTGTGATGAGGCTGAAGCATTATGGTTGAAACTGCACATGGAGGTGCATGCTACAAAGGTAATCATTGGAGTGTTAATGAGGAGGTGGAAACTCAGCTCCTTGCACAGATCGAAAGGGCTGCAAGGGCTGGGACAGTGATAATAATGGAGGATTTTAACTACCCGGAAATTGACTGGAGTAATGGTACTGCAGGAACAGTTAAAGGGCAAAATTTTTTAAACCTACTACAGGACAATTTTATGGTACACTTCATAGAGGCCACAACTAGAAATGATGCTCTGTTGGACCTGGTAATCTCAAACCATGCAGAGCTTATTACGAATGTCCATATAAAAGAACATCTGGGTAGCAGTGACCATAACATGATTTAATTTATTGTTAGTTGTAAAAAGCAAGCACATACAGGAAAATTAAAAATGCTCAATTTTAAGAGAGCTAATTTTCCAAGGATGAGAGCTGGTCTCCAAGACTTAGACTGGGAGTGAATATTGGCATCAATGAACACAACACAGAAATGGGAGTTCTTCAAAGACTGTATGTGAACACACTGCAAAATATATTCCCATGGGCAACAAGTATAAAAGGCTAAAAATCAAACCTATGTGTCTTACGGCCAAAGTTAAAAAAGCTTTAGATAATAAGAAATATTATAAACTGAAGGAACACTATCATCGTGCAAGTATTACAAAGAATATAACAGAATATGCAAAAAGGAAATAAAGGCCGCAAAAATTGAAAACAAACGACAGATTGTGAGAGATAGCAGAACCAAATTGTAAAGGGAGGGGGGCAGTGATGTGTGTGTGTGTGGGGGGGGTGATGTAAAGGGGAACAATGCTGTGGTGGTGGCTTGATGTGATGTGATGTACTACTGTAGCGGGGTGGGGGGGGTTGGCGAGTTGTGATGTGAGAGGGGGCAGTGCTTGGGGGGGGGGATGTGAAAGGGGGCAGTGCTGTGGGGTGGGGTGTTTGATGTGAAGAGGGCAGATCACACTACTGCTGGAAGGGGGGCAATACTGTGGGGGGGGATGTAAAGGAGGGGGGCAGTGCTGTGGGGGAGATGTAAATGGGGCTGTGTTTGTGGGGGGGAGTGAAGAGGACAGTGCTGTGGAAGGGAGTGTGTGTGAAGGAGGCAGAGGACAGTACTGTGGGGGAGGGATGTGAAGAGGAAGAGGACAGTACTGTGACAGGGGGGGGGTGAGGGGTGGGGAAGAGACAGTACTGTGAAAGGGATGTGAAGAAGAGGACGGTACTGTGGGGGGGGGATGTGAAGGGGCAGAGGACAGTACTGTGGGGGGGGATGTGAAAGGGGAAGGGGACAGTACTGTGGGGGGGGATGTGAAGGGGAAGAGGACAGTACTGTGGGGGGGATGTAAAGGGGAAGGGGACAGTACTGTGGGGGGGATGTGAAGGGGCAGAGGACAGTACTGTGGGGGGGGGGGATGTGAAAGGGGAACAGGACAGTACTGTGGGGGGGGGGATGTGAAGGGGCAGAGGACAGTACTGTGGGGGAGGGATGTGAAGGGGAAGGGACAGTACTGTGGGGGGGGGGGGATGTGAAGGGGAAGAGGACAGTACTGTGGGGGGGGGATGTGAAGGGGAAGAGGACAGTACTGTGGGGGGGGGGGATGTGAAGGGGCAGAGGACAGTACTGTGGGGGGGGGGGGGGGGATGTGAAGGAGAAGAGGACAGTACTGTGGGGGAGGGATGTGAAGGGGAAGAGGACAGTACTGTGGGGGGGGATGTGAAGGGGAAGAGGACAGTACTGTGGAGGGGGGATGTGAAGGGGCAGAGGACAGTACTGTGGAGGAGGGATGTGAAGGGGAAGAGGACAGTACTGTGGAGGGGGGATGTGAAGGGGAAGTGGACAGTACTGTGGGGGGAGGGATGTGAAGGGGCAGAGGACACTACTGTGAAAAGCATGTGGTTCGGATCTCTGCCAGAATAAAATTTACTGGTCAGACCTCCATGAATTCTAATTCAATACCCCTGCCCTAGATGATGACAATGAATTATGAAGAAAATGACGATGAAGATGATGATCATGAATGATATTTCTGAACTCTAATGTACTTGGTTGTGTTTTGTGTCTAGATCCCCTAGTGGTGTACGAAGTGAAGTTACTGGCGTATAATCAACATGGAGATGGAAACTCCACAGTTCGTTTTGTATCCTTGAAAGAGGCATCTCCCCGAGCAGGTAACTGTTCACAACGCCTCCCACCTTTCCAGATTTCTCTCCTAGAGAACGAGTGTATCAATGCTGTGATACGAGGGGTGACCACGGCACCACATCCCTGTATCAAAATGGTCAAACATATATCCCAAAAAATGGTTTGAGACTTTAAAGGTACCAAATAGAAGTCCAAAATTGTATATTAAAATGATAGCAATGTACTTTATTGTATATACACAGAAGATATATATATAAATACTTAAAATCAAAATGTATCAATAACTGTACTGTAAATGGTTAGTGGATAACTCCAACTGAGCCACTTAACAGACACTTCTCAAGATGAATGCACTTGAATATCAAATGCATACAAATATATTTTGAAACTTATAGATTATTCAATGTCCGAATGCATTTTATGCATCTCTGTATAGGAGGTGATTCTATTCTCAACGTGTTTCGTACTTTGCTTCTTCAGAAGAACAAGGCAATTTAAAGGCCAAGTTCACTTTCCCTAACATGTTACGTTACACCCATGTTTAGGGTGTAAAATGTTTGGCATTCTCCACTTCATTCCCCTCACGCCCACCCCCCACCCCCTTCTAATGACAGTGGGCTGGGGATCCTCCTTTCCCTGCACCCGTTGTCACAATTTAAAAACAGCGCGGCCATTTCGTGTGAAATGAATAGACTACAAGCATTGCGGCTAACAGCTTATGGTTCCTAATGAACTGAGAGGGCGCTGGCGAATGCTCTTGTAGTTCATTGATCTTCCTGCTGTCATGTGAGTGCCTGCCCGTATCATAGAGTCTGCAGAAGCCTGGCATTGCACCTGCGATCTGCTGATCATGGGTGCAATTGCACCTGCAAAAAAAATGTGCATTTATTCTTTTGTTTTCAAGGTGAAGTTATCCTTTAAGGCCCCTTTTACACGGATGTTCCGATCGGGTCCACCTGGCCTTTTGATCAGGTGGACCCGATCGGAACCTCTATTCTCCTCTATGGAGCGGTGGGTGTAAACAGACACCCGCTGACTTTCAGTCTGATTCAGTCCACCAAAAAGAGACGGATGGGGATCGATTCCCCTTCTGTCCTTCGGATCAGATGGGATGGCAGTCGGATGGAAACACAGGCGGTCCGTTTCCATCCGACTGCTCATAGAGGGCAGGAGGCTGAGTTTGTGTCCGCTCCACAGCAACGGAGCAGACACAGACCTGTCATCCGCATGCTCAGCAGGGATCAGAAGAGAGATACCCCGCTAAGCAAGCAGATCCGCTGACGGGTCCGCCCCGTGAGAAAGAGGCCTAAATCTGGACATACAAAAGTCTTTTTCTTTCATTCAACCTTATGAATGAATTAAAGCAAATGACACGATTTCCACATCCACACACTTGAGCCTTTGTACAGTATTTTGACACATATTCAACTAGAGACAGGATGTCTCATTCAAAAACAGCCACAACATGACATTCCCAGCCATCAGAATACACTTTGTTTTATTATTGCAACTAAATGGTATTTATGAATGAAACATGAAAAACACTATTTGCAGACTTCATTCATGCAGCCTGTGACCAAAATACATTGTAACAAATTTGTTTCAGTGTGTTTAAGAATGACATCTGTCAGTGCTTGGCATACACCACTTGTACCTCTACGTTCGCTGGACATTGATCTGAGTATACACCTTTCACTCTTTTACATTCTACTTGTGCTTACAGGCAGAACATGAAAATGTTGTTTCGTATGATTTTACAATTCATTAGTAATACCTCATCTGGAATATGCAGCTCAGTTTTGGGCACCAATTCACAAAAAGAACATTGGGGAACTGGAGAAAGTACAGAGAAGGGCAACCAAACTTATAAGAGGCATGGAGGAGATCAGCTATGAGGAAAGATTAGAGGAACTGAATTTATTCTCTTTAGAGATGAGGAGATTAAGTGGGGGATATTATCACCATGTATAATACATAAGGGGGATATGATCACCATGTATAATACATAAGGGGGGGATATGATCACCATGTATAATACATAAGGGGGGATATGATCTCCATGTATAATACATAAGGGGGGATATGATCTCCATGTATAATACATAAGGGGGGATATGATCTCCATGTATAATACATAAGGGGGGATATGATCTCCATGTATAATACATAAGGGGGGATATGATCTCCATGTATAATACATAAGGGGGGATATGATCACCATGTATAAATACATAAGGGGGGATATGATCTCCATGTATAATACATAAGGGGGATATGATCTCCATGTATAATACATAAGGGGGGATATGATCACCATGTATAATACATAAGGGGGGATATGATCTCCATGTATAATACATAAGGGGGGATATTATCACCATGTATAATACATAAGGGGGGGGATATGATCTCCATGTATAATACATAAGGGGGGATATGATCTCCATGTATAATACATAAGGGGGGATATGATCACCATGTATAATACATAAGGGGGGATATTATCACCATGTATAATACATAAGGGGGGATATGATCTCCATGTATAATACATAAGGGGGGATATGATCTCCATGTATAATACATAAGGGGGGATATGATCTCCATGTATAATACATAAGGGGGGATATGATCTCCATGTATAATACATAAGGGGGGATATGATCACCATGTATAATACATAAGGGGGGATATGATCTCCATGTATAATACATAAGGGGGGATATGATCTCCATGTATAATACATAAGGGGGGATATGATGTATAATACATAAGGGGGGACATGTATCCAATACATAAGGGGGGACATGATCTCCATGTATAATACATAAGGGGGGGGGGGGGGGGGGTATGATCTCCATGTATAACACATAAGGGGGGATATGATCTCCATGTGAAAGGTCTTTTCACAGTAAGAGCTGTGATAATGTGGAATAGACTCCCTCAAGAGTTGGTTGTGGCCAGCTCAGTGGATTGCTGTAGAAAAGTCCTGGATTCTTTCTTGGATACACAGAATATAACTGGATATAACATTTATAGGTACAGTTGATCCAGGGAATATCCGATTGCCTCTCGGGGGATCAGAAGGAATATTTTTGGAACAAATTGGATCATGCTTTTTTGGAGTTTCTTTTTGTCCTTCCTCTGAATCTACAGTGAGAGCTGTGAGAATGTGGAATAGACTCCCTCAAGAGTTGGTTGTGGCCAGCTCAGTGGATTGCTGTAGGAAAGTCCTGGATTCTTTCTTGGATACACAGAATATAACTGGATATAACATTTACAGGGAAAGTTGATCCAGGAAATATCCGATTGCCTCTCGGGGGATCAGGAAGGATTTTTTCCCCTGCGGGAGCAAATTGTTTCATGCTTTGCTGGGTTTTTTAGCCTTCCTCTGGATCAACTGTGGGTGTAGGATTATACCTCCTTTTTTTTTTTTAATGGTTGAACTGAATGGACTTTTCTCTTTTTTCAGCCAGACTAACTATGTAACTATGTAAAAGGTTTCTTATGCATGTTGGAGTAAACTCTTTAAGGACACTTTACATCCTAATGTTTGAAAATATTGTTGATACGGCCCCATGAATTCTGTAGTACACCATACTGTAGCCTACTGTCAATGACTTCAATTCTAACATACTGCCTTGCATTTCTCTGCATAGTACTGAATCCATCCTGTAACTGTGTGATCGATGAGCAGAAGGCAAAATCCTCGGCCACCGGCATCATCATTGGAATTCATATTGGTGTCACCTGCATCATTTTTTGCATCCTGTTTCTCATGTTTGGATATCGTGGGAGGTAAGACACAGGAAGGAAAACAGTGACATTCAGTTACTTTCTTTTCATTTAAGGGACTCCGGGAACCTTTGGGTTATACTGCCACCTACAGTAGGATTGGACACTGGCAAACAAAAAATGAAAACTGTAGGCCAGCCCAGGATAACCCCTCCTACTATAATCATGCCTCCATTTTTTACTAGTGTCCTAGGAATGTGGCCGTCTTTTCTACAGCTCAACTGTACTAAGACCAGGGCATTGTTTTCTTCAGCAGGAATGCAGTTTCGGCGCCTCCAGCTTTGCATGTACTGTATGTTCCTAAGGAAAAAGGGTAAAGTTAACCAGGGTTTTAAACTGGCAAAAGACCCACCATCATTAAGTGGGCGACTGCTCAAAGCCGCAGATCTGCATGTCTTCCTATGGGGATCTCTTGCAAGTGGAAATAAATATGATCTTTGGACTTACCATAAAATCCTGTTCTTAACATCTTCCCGCCCAGCCTATAGCAGATTGACGGCCGGGCGGGACACTCGCCGTTGTGACTGGGCGTCATATGATGCGATCTGTCACCGGCTGTGTCCACGGGACATATCACTACACCGGCCCGTTGCCAGTGTCATGTGACCGCTGTGACCAATCACAGCAGATGACATGTCAGTTGTATACAATGGATGGCTTCCTGCCATGCCATTCATTGTATACAATTGTGTTGTTAGATGTGACTGTTCAAGGCAGTCACATGATACAGACAGGGCCAATCACAGCCCATCTGTATCATGTGATTAGCTTGGCCTAATCACAACAAAAAAGACTGAATGAATCTGTTTCATTCAGTAACAATGATTGCAAATATCAATGAAATATATTAGTATTATGTATTATTATTATTATACAGTATTTATAAAGCGCCAATAGTTCGCTCAGCGCTGTACATTACAAAGGGGGACAGAACATGTGACAGAACAATACCAATACAATGCAAAACATGAGGGGATCGAGGGCCCTGCTCTTTCGAGCTTACAATCTAGGAGGGAGGGGATGGTGGTACAGGAGGAGATAGCTGTGGGGGATGGAGTGGTAGGAAGAGTGGAGGAGGTCGGCAAGTTAGCAGGGGGTGGGGTAGGCTTCCCTGAAGAGATGGGTTTTTAGGGTGCGCCTAAAGGAGAGGAGAGTAGGTGATAATCTGATGGGTTGGGGCAGGGAGTTCCAAAGGATGGGTGACACCCTGGAGAAGTCCTGGAGGCGGGCATGGGAGGAGGAGACCAGGGAACTAGAGAGAAGGAGGTCTTGTGAGGAGCGGAGTGTGCGTGCTGGGTGGTACTTGGATATCAGGTCAGTGATGTAGTTCGGGGCAGTATGGTGGACGGCTTTGTACGTCAGTGTTAGGATTTTGAATTTGATCCGTTGCTCAATTGGAAGCCAGTGGAGGGATTGGCATGTATTGGGTATTAGTAGTAATATTGGGGCAGCACAGTGGCTAAATGGTTAGCCTGGCAGTACTCGGGTTATTGGTTCAAACCCCAGCCAGGGCACCACCTGCCTGGAATTTGCATGTTCTCCCTGTGCCTGCGTGGGTTTCCTCCAGGTACTCCCGTTTCCTCCCACACTCCAAAGACATGCTGGTAAGTTAATTGGCTCCTGTCTAAATTGGCCCTAGTATGTGTATGTATGAATGTGAGTTAGGGACCTTAGATTGTACGCCCCTTGAGGGTTAGGGACGGATGTGAATGTACAATATAATGTACATTGAAATTCCAATATATATGTAAAAACGCTGTGTAAATTGATGGCGCTATATAAGTACCTGAAATAAATAAATAATATTAGCCATCATAATGTGTTAAAAAAAAAAAAAAAAAATCCTGATCACTTGCCCAGTGTAGTTCAGTGTTACTATTTTAACATTGTTTTGCTTTGGTCACAGTGTGTTGAAAAAAATTAATTGAAAAAAAAAATTCAAAAAAATCCAATGAAATCCAGTGGCGGTGCTCCAAATGGTGTGGTAAAAATTACGCACTCACCAGATGCGTAATTTGAATACGCAGTATGTAAACCAATGAGGGTCTCCTTAACAGGTAAAGGTCTGGTCTGGGGCACGGATAATCCACCTTCAGGGTGGTGTTGTTATAAGCCCAGCGGAGAGTAAGCGGATCCAGGTAGCCAGAGGTCCGCGCCCCAGACCAGACCTTTACCTGTTAAGCAGACCCTCATTGGTTTACACACTGCGTATTCAAATGACGCATCTGGTGAGTGCGTAATTTTTACCACACCATTTGGAGCACCGCCACTGGATTTCATTACCATTCATCACCTTATATCCACACAGACTGTCACTTTTATTGAACATTTTATTTATAATAATTTACCGTTATTTCTTATGTGGGATAGACTTTATCATTATTTATCATTTTAAACACTTACTTATTATATGTAGGAGGGCATACTTAACTGAGAAAGCCCCTCCTCCCGTCCTGAAGACTTTTGGGATGTATGACATTTGCCTTAGCCAGAAACCAGAAAGTAATTGAAGAGATATAAAAAAAAAAAAAAGTAAAACAAGTAAATATAATATACAGTCCTATCTGTTTACTAATGCTAGCAGCATAACGATTAAATATAGTCCATGTTGATTGAGAGAGTGAAGTTCTGCTTTAATCACTATAGGTGAACAGGAATCTATTGAACATGGCCTGCCATAAAAATCTCCTTCTCGAAAAATGTAAAAGCCTTATTGCCTCTAACGCCTATAATAGGCAACTCATCTACACGTACACTTCATTTACTTTTTTTTTTTTTTTTTTTTTTTCAAAGTAATGGGGCCATTTGCATTGTGTCAATGGATAGAAGACGTACCCTTGAAAATTATTCAGTGGTTGGTATAATCATCTCTAACACTAATCTGTAGGTTATTGCAGGAAAAAAAGGGTCAAGAGCAGCTGTATGCAATAGAAAGCATCATAATGAACTAGTATTGGCTGTAGATGGTGCAGCATGTGCCAGGACTCTCTGGAGGACCAGTCCAGGTTTGGAGGGAAAATGAAAAGAGCACATATGCTCCACCATATGTTCTGATTATGATGGGGCAGCAGAGAAAGTTAATGAAGGTTAGGGCTTTTTAGTAGTAAAAGGAGTCTTTCACACATGACCTTAAATACACCGTAGTCATTTTAAGAGCTCTGAAATGAAATGCCAAGTGACACCAATGAATACTGTGCATGGGTATCACATAAAAAAATTCTGGAGAATAAGTGTGGGCCTAAATCCATATTTTCATTATATGTAAAATTTTTATTTATGATATAGTACACAATATTTTATTACATTTTTATTGTATTATATTGTTATATTATATTTTTTTATTTTAATTATATATTAAATATTTATACTTTTTATATATTTATAATATTTTTTATTTTGTTTTTACTATATGCTATTGTTATATTAGATAATATGATATTATAGTAAATGTTTAATTTTAATTATCTAATTATATATTATTATTATTATAGTAGTAGTAGTATAGTTTTGTATTATGTATTGTGAATTGTATAATTGTATTATGAATTGTATAATATAAAATATTTCATATAACAAATATTTTATTTTTAATATATTTTTTAATTTTTTCATTATATATTAATTATTTTATATGATATACAATATTTTATCTTATTTTTATTATTATTATTTTTTTTCCATTTATATCTTTTATTACATTTTCTTTTAAGAAAAAAATACCTTACAAATCCATCATAAATCTTTTTACATCATACATATAAACTTTATCCCCATACCCACCCCAACACACCCCTGTCCAATCTCATCTTATCCTCTCTTTCCCCTCCTATTAATGTAGTCATATATATAGATCTCTTTAACCATTTAAATTCTCTGGTACTACTATTGGGGGACCTTTCATTTTGTAAGTATTTTTTCTGAAGTTCTAAACTCATACCATATACCCCAAATCTTTCTACACTTTTCTATTTCATCTTTCTCCATTGTAACAAAGTTATTTTTATTATATTCTATCATTATATTATATTGTATTGTATTACATTATATTGTATTGTATTCTTTTAGGATATTATTAAGTGTTTGTTTTTTTTTTGGTAAACTTATTGCGTATAATAGAAAATTAATTGAAATGATTAACGCCTTGTCTACCAAATATATATATATTATACACGTATATATATTTGGTATATATACGATAAATATATACGACACGGTATACAATCAGTTAAAGCCAGCTCACGGCTGTTAGAACTGGCAATGGGCTTTCAGATAAAAGTGATCTTGGCAGCTTTAGATCCACCCAGAGATCACTTTAATGAAGCTCTGAAGATGCCCCCCCCCCATGTCAGAGGGCTTGTTAGCCGCCTTGTGATAGCAAAAAATTAAATAAATTCAAAAATAAAACGTGTAAACAAATACTGTAAAATAAATAAAAAATAATAATAAAGAAATCTTTAAAAGCACCCTCGCACACACAACTATTCAAACACGCAGCATAGGGTGGGCACATGTATGTAAACATACATTGCGCCACAGAAGTGGGGTATCCTCATAAACAGTGAAGTCATAGCGATGATTCTAGGGAGACAATTCTTAGTTAAAGTTGAATTCCAAGAATTCAGAAACTTTGCAAAAAGTGAAGGCAGACTGTGAATTAAATCCAATTAGATGCATGTCACCTCTGGGACTTATCTATTACCTCTATCAGGGGTGCTGAATTAAAATTCATGGAGGTCCAGTTGGTAACATTTCCTTCCTGCAGGTCCGAATCTTATTTTTCTTCTCTTACTCAGGTCTTTTACTTCTACAGCCCCTAATTAATGTCCTCAGTCCCCCCTTTCTCATCACAGCCTTCCATACATCACAACTCCCTTTCATGTTAGAGCCCCCCCCCCCAACATTACAGTCCCGCTCACATGACAGCCCCCCTTCACATCACAGTCTCTCTTGCAATCACAACCCCCCACATCAGTTTCCCCCCTGCTGACATCACAGACCCTTCATATCACAGCTCCCCCTCTAACATCACAGTTCCCCCATATCACAGCTCTCCTTTTCACATCACAGCCTCCCCAGTATTACAGCTCCCCCCTCTCAGATCACAACTCCCCCCTATCACAGCCCCCCATTTCACAGCTCCCCCCACCCTCACTTCACAGCCCTCCATATCACAGCTCCCCCTCTAACATCACAGTTCCCCCATATTACAGCTCTCCTCACATCACAGCCCCCCCCCTCTGAGATCACAACTCCCCCCTATCACAGCCCCCCATTTCACAGCTCCCCCCACCCTCACTTCACAGCCCCCCATATCACAGCTCCCCCCTCTATCACAGTCCCCCCCCATTTCACAGTTCTCCTTCTCACATCACAGCCCCCCAGTATTACAGCCCCCCTCTCAGATCACAACTCCTCCCTATCACAGCCTCCCCCTTTCACAGCTTCCCCACCATCACTTCACAGCCCCCCATATCACAGCTCCACCCTCAAAGATCCCCCATTTCACCGCCCCCCTCTCACTTCACAGCTCCCCCCTATCACAGCTCCACCCTCAAAGATCCCCCATTTTCACCGCCCCCCCCTCACTTCACAGCCCCCCATATCACAGCTCCCCCTTTCACTTCACAGCCCCAACATTGTGGAGGGTGGGAGGAAGCTCCCCCTTTCACTTCACAGCCTGATATCACAGCTCCCCCCTCTAACAGTCCCCCATATCACAGATCCCTCCTCTGGACATCACAAGGACTCCTCTATCTGAATGTACCGCCTACCGCTAACTCAACAGGTGAAGGGCGGGAGGAATGGCAGGATGGACTCCTCTGTTGAATGTATGCCATTGCTGTTGAAGTCACAGCAGGAGGAGGGGGGAGGAATGGAAGGAAGGACTCCTCTTCTGAATGTACCGACTTGCCGCCGCCGCTGAACTCAGAGCAGGGAGGAGAGCGGGAGGGAGGAATGGAAGGAAGGACTCCTCTTCTGAATGTACCGACTTGCCGCCGCCGCTGAACTCAGAGCAGGGAGGAGAGCGGGAGGAATGGAAGGAAGGACTCCTCTTCTGAATGTACCGACTTGCCGCCGCTGAACTCAGAGCAGGGAGGAGAGCGGGAGGAATGGAAGGAAGGACTCCTCTTCTGAATGTACCGACTTGCCGCTGAACTCAGAGCAGGGAGGAGGGCGGGAGGAATGCAAGAAGGACTCCTCTTCTGAATGTACCGACTTGCCCGCCGCTGAACTCAGAGCAGGGAGGAGGGCGGGAGGAATGGAAGGAAGGACTCCTCTTCTGAATGTACCGACTTGCCACCGCCGCTGAACTCAGAGCAGGGAGGAGGGCGGGAGGAATGGAAGGAAGGACTCCTCTTCTGAATGTACCGACTTGCCACCCGCTGAACTCAGAGCAGGGAGGAGGGCGGGAGGAATGGAAGGAAGGACTCCTCTTCTGAATGTACCGACTTGCCGCCGCCACTGAACTCAGAGCAGGGAGGAGGGCGGGAGGAATGGAAGGAAGGACTCCTCTTCTGAATGTACCGACTTGCCGCCGCTGAACTCAGAGCAGGGAGGAGGGCATTTGTTTATTTTATTGCATTTGTTTGCCCTAAAATTCACTTTAGTTTGTTTTTTACTGAAATTTAGTTTTTTACCTTTGTGGTAATATCCTGTTAAATAAAAAAAATTGGAACTACCACTATTTTATTTTCCAGGGCACAGGTGTCAAACACAAGGCCCTCGGGCCAAATTCGGCCGTCCAGGCCATTTCATGTGGCCCTTGTACCTCTCCTGCAGGTACCCTCTTGCCTCCTCCCCCACCTTGTCTCAGCAGTCAGCAGCAGAGAGGAGAATAGAACTCCTCTGCCAAATCCTGCACCTCTCAGTGCAGCTGCAGCACCTCCTCATCTCTACCTCCCCTGGTCTCAGCATTCAGCAACCGACTCCACTCCTCCTCTGGTTCTCCTCCAGACCCTGCACTTCTGCTTTTCAGCTCTGCCCCCAAAGGAGGTGCACGGTGATGTTATGGAGGGTGTGGGGTTCTTGACATCTGATGTAATGGGGAGGGGGTGCTCTGGACATCTAGTCTTGCAGGTAAAACCGGCCCTTTGAGAGCAACCATAATGCCGATACGGCCCGCAATGAAATGGAGTTTGACACCCCTGGTCTAGGCTGTCTGCCTTCAGAAATTATATAATGCTTTGGGGGGTTTGTGTAATCTTCAGGCCTAAAATTATTTTTTTAAACATGTGCAAAAAAAGGCTAAAACGTCTCTGGCAGCGGAATTTAATTGCTAATTATAAGTAATTACAGTTGAGATTTTTTTTGGTATGGCCTTGAGTATCTCCGCGGCACTGTGGATCGGATCATCAGCTATTCGTGGATGAAAGCCTCAGTTTATATGCGGTAAAACTATATATATAAAAAAAATTAAACAGCTGCGTGTTTCCATCCTCGAGGGGTAAAATATAGAGATATACCCAGCCTGCTTGTAAAAAGAAAAGATTGTGTATTTTGGCAATAAATTGCTCCCACTTAAAAGGTAATTATAATTTACCCATTTATTTTTGCAGAACATTTTTAGTGTTTTTGTCTTTTCTATCTTAGTATTAATTCCTGGCTAATGTGATACAAAACCTTTTGAAGACTTTAATTATAATACTGTTTTTTTTTTTATTTATTTATTTTTTTTTATGTTGATATTCTGGATGATCCTGGCACCCTGTGATAGTAAAGCAGGGATATGATATGGTCCAGTAAAATTCTTGTTGTTTTCTCTCTTTGGTTCACAGGCTCATGAAGTGTAAAGCTGCGCAGGACCCGATCTCCGCTCCTCAAGGACCTGGAGGTGTCAGACTTTCAGATCGAACGAGTCACAATGGTGACACTGTGAGAGGCGGTGAAATTCCAGAAACCAAGGGCAAAGTCAGTGAACTCAGCGAGATGGAGCATTTATTTCACCACTCACCTTCTCACCAAAATGGGGTAAGACACATTTATAGGCGGCTGAAAATAATATGAGATGGATATTGCATAGCTCCCAACTGTCCCTGATTTCGAGGGACTGTCCCTCGTTTGGAACAAAGTCCCTCATTTGGAACAAAGTCTCCCTGTCTCTCATTTGGAACAAAGTCCCTCATTTGGAACAAAGTCCCCCTGTCCCTCATTTGGAACAAAGTCCCCCTGTCCCTCATTTGGAACAAAGTCCCCCTGTCCCTCATTTGGAACAAAGTCCCCCTGTCCCTCATTTGGAACAAAGTCCCCCTGTCCCTCATTTGGAACAAAGTCCCCTTGTCCCTCATTTGGAACAAAGTCCCCCTGTCCCTCATTTGGAACAAAGTCCCCCTGTCCCTCATTTGGAACAAAGTCCCCCTGTCCCTCATTTGGAACAAATTCCCCCTGTCCCTCATTTGGAACAAATTCCCCCTGTCCCTCATTTGGAACAAATTCCCCCTGTCCCTCATTTGGAACAAATTCACCCTGTCCCTCATTTGGAACAAATTCCCCCTGTCCCTCATTTGGAACAAAATTCCTCTGTCCCTCATTTAGAACAAAGTCCCCTGTCCCTCATTTGGAACAAAGTCCCCCTGTCCCTCATTTGGAACAAAGTCCCTCATTTGGAACAAAGTCCCCCTGTCCCTCTTTTGGAACAAAGCCCCCCAATTTGGAACAAATTCCCCCTGTCCCTCATTTGGAACAAAGTTCCTCTGTCCCTCATTTAGAACAAAGTTCCTCTGTCCCTATTTAGAACAAAGTCCCCCTGTCCCTCTTTTGGAACAAAGCCCCCCAATTTGGAACAAAGCCCCCTGTCCAAAGTCCCTCATTTGGAACAAAGTCCCCCCTGTCCCTCATTTGGAACAAAGCCCCCCAATTTCCCCCCTGTCCCTCATTTGGAACAAAGCCCCCCTGTCCCTCATTTGGAACAAAGCCCCCCTGTCCCCTCATTTTGGAACAACCCCCCTGTTTTAGAACTGTTAGGAATTCCCCCTTTCCTGGAATCCTTATATTCTTATTTCTATATTTATCTCTGTGCTGCGCAGCGTCTGGGTGTGTGGCACGGGCTCGATCGCGATCGGGCAATCAACATAACCAACACACTCAAGTAGGATACAGGAAGATTGCAAAGTTTATTACGTACACAACAGTTTATAAAGGCAAAAACCACAAACCCAAATTATCCAATAGTAAGACAAACTTAAATTATCCAATGGTAAAGCGTACCTTTAACTTCTACCCAGATACTAGACAAGGTGCACCTTTTCTTAAACTGTTAAAATGTTAAACCTCAGTCAGTACATCCTACCATTTTTGGCTGTGTTCCCAGATCTCTTATCTGAACATCTATCTATGTTTGCTACGGTATTTTGAAGACACCTGCAGTCTAGCGTTCTTCCTGTAACATTTTGCGGTTGTACTTGTTACAATTAAAATTTTCCATATAAGCTCGACAATAATGCTGACATTTCTTTACTTAAGACATAATAATTTCATCTACTTAAAGCTTCACTCTAACTCTTATCACAATGCAAGCATAATGAATACAAAATGGTATACCTGAATCAATAGCCCTAGCGCATATTCCCACAACCCCCTCTTTGATCATATTGAACCTTTGTTCAACATGATCACTCAGAATACCACACACCTCTCTGGATTGTCCAAACAAAGCAAGTGTGGGAGCCGCCTGTTGGAGAGGTGGAGTCTGGGCTCTTGTGCTTAACTGCTAGCTTCATAGTTTTACCCAATCCCCATATAGCAAATTTTAAATAAATAAAAATTGCAAAAAGAAGTGCTAGTGTATAAAGTGCAATTAATTATTTTATAAATCTTTGGAATACCCCGGTACCACTTCCGAATATTATGGCACCTTCCATTATTTGATGGTTGTCAGAAGAAAGGGGGTCCTCTGTTATCTTGGAATCCCCTTTGTCCTGAGATTCATCTTCCTCCGGGTCTTGTGGCCTTTGGGATGTAAGCTGTCTATGTCTTATAGGATTCTTTCATTTGTCATCAGTAAGTCTCATTTGGAACTGAAAATGTGCACTAAGTGGATGAGGTTCATTCAGTGTCTTAATAGATGGATCTTCTAGCATACTGATCATATGTATGTTAACAGTCTTGGTTATGTATAACCCAATGTCTGTGGGTCAGTGGGATGCAATGGGGTGGGGTATCCATTCATCCAACAGGTAAAAGTGTGCTGTTGTGCTGGGGGTATCAGTATCAGGAGTTCTGGGGTGGGATGTCGGGGGGGCATAGAAACTGTGTTCTCTTGTTCTGGCGAAACCTCTTGGGGAGTCCTTCATCTCCAGGTATTTCTTCAACCTCGATGCATGTATCCATTGTGGAGTCTGGTCAGTTAGAACTGCTGTTTTGGCGACTTTAAGGACTTCAAATGGGCCTTGACAAATGGGTCCCGTCTTTTTTCCTTGCAGCCAGTTGTTTGATCAGAACTTTGTCACCCGGCAGGAATGGATGAGTGGGATCTGTGGAAAGAGGAGACAGGTGACAGACACCTTTTCTTGGTTTTCAGATAACACACTTACTAGATGTTTTACGTATTCCTCCTGTAAAGCAGAAAAGTTAGTTTCGTCACCTGGGGTTTGGCAGTCATTTGGTGGTCTACCCATCAGAATTTCATATGGGGAAAGTCCAGTCTTTTTATCAGGGGTGGTCCTAATTTGGTAAAGAACTGCGGGGAGATATAACAGCCAGTTCTTTAAAGTTCACCCTGTGGCTTTCTTCAGTCTGTCTGTTATTGTCCTGTTCATGCATTCTTGAAATCTTGCATAAACAATGTCATGTTGTGTGTGGGTGTGGATGACTCGGCTGCTCTGTCTGCTAATTTGTTACCTCTGGCTAACGATCATGTTATAATCTTGTACTACCCCATATGCATATCTGCTGTCAGTATAAATGTTCACTCTTTGGTCAGCAAAAAGTCGACAGGCGCGCGTTAGTGCGACTAACTCAGCTTGCTGGGCTGAATTAGCATGAAGCGGTTTGGTTCAATGATTATGTCTGGTAGCATCACTACAGCATAACCCGTTTGGTAGGTATGATCATCTGGTCTGACACAGCTGCCATCAACAACAACATCTATACTGCCCGATTGGGGTATGTCCTTTGGATCATCTCTGGGTGAAGTATTCTCTAACACCATTTCCTCACAGTCATGTAGAGGGGGTATAGTCACCATTTCTCCTCCGTCTCACCCAAATTTAGCAGCATGTGTAGCAACCTAAGCACCGGAGCCGTTTCCGACAAGTCTTAAACTGCAAGTTGACAGTGCTGGGTAAGATTACTTCATATCCACTCAGTCTCTGTGCATGTCATGTGCTGTGTCGTCATATTGTGCAATAGCACTGCTATTGAATGTGTAGTGTATAACACAGTCGGTGATCCCTGTGTCAGTTTACTTGCATCCTTTACAGCCATTGCACAAGCAGCCATCGCTTGAAGGCAATGAGGCATGCCCAAAACCACACAAGGCAACTTCTTGGAAAGGTAAGCCACTGGTCTATTTTTCCCACCGTGTTCCTGTGCGAGTACGGCTGCAAATGCGTCCGCTGACACTACACTGTAAAGCTGAAACTCTCATAGTCCGGCAGTGCTAAGGCTGGGGCATTAGTCAGTGATCTGATCAGTCTACCAAAAGCTTCCTTCCTCTCCGGGGTCCACTCTATCTGTTGTGGGGCCTCTTGTTTTGTTGTATCCCTGAGGATCGAATCATAGTGGGAACAGTCAGGTATCCACTGCCTGCAATACACTATTGACCCAAGGAAGGACATCATTGCAGCCTTGGTTGTTGGTAGTGTGAGGGACATTAGGGCTTTTACCCTGGCTGGGGAGACAGACCTTTCTCCTCCTGAAATCAGGCAACCCAGGTATTCCACCTGTTCCTGTACCCATTGTATCTTCTTTCTTGAAACCAAATGGCCCTTTCCGGCTAGGTAATCTAGCAAGTGTCTTGAGTCTACCTCACAGTCTTCATGGCTGACCATTAGGTCATCTGCGTATTGGAGTAAGGTGGATCCCCTCTTTGGCTCCCAACTGTCTAAAGATGCTTTCAATACCATTGAGAAAGCAGCGGGACTATCCCCATAGCCTTGAGGAAGACGAGACCAGGTCAACTGACCACCGTCCCATTAAAAAGCAAACATGTTCTGGGCATTTACTTCCACCGGAATGCTAAAGAAAGCATTGGACAGATCTATTACAGTGTAGAATCGCGAGCTACTGGGAATAGCCCCAGAAATTGCCGTGATATCTGCTACCAATGGAGGTAGGGGAATAATTGTTCCTTCCTGAGATCCTGGACTAGCCTCAATGAACTGTCTGCTTAATTAATAGGTGTGTTCCAGGGACTTATTGTCGGTCTGAGAACACCCATGTCAGATAAATTTGTATGGCTGGTCTTATACCCTCTATCTTTTCTTCAGACAGGGGATACTGTTTTTGAAAACAAGGGACCGCGTCCTGTTTTAAGTTTGGCTTGTAAGGGGTGCAATTTACAAAGCCTACTGCAGTTTTGTCCTCCGCCCAAATTTGGGTGGGAGGTCAGGTCATTTGGTAGAAGCATGTAAAGTCCTATATGGTCCTTTCTCTTTGGATTAGTCAGTTCACTCATCTTAGTCTTAGCTGTCAGTCTTCCTTGATTGTCAAATGTTATGCTGATCATGAGCTCAGACATTAATTCTCTACCCATCAACGCAACCGGCACATGGGCAGGACTGCAAAGGTTAATTTGATGAGTATGTCATCTGGGGTTAGGACACAAGAATTTAAGATCCTTAATCCCACTGGTAAGGGTACCTGTACCTTTGTGTCCCCTACTGTAATCAGTGGAAGTGTTATGTTTGATTTTTGTTTTTTTGTTTTTTCTGTTCAACCACTACAAGTTTGTCTTTTGCTGCTATCTGTTCTACTGTTTCATCTGCCTTCCCTTGATCAGTCAAAATTTTCTCCTTTCTGCTAGATTCATC